AGCGGCAGCTGCTGAACTCGGTCCTGCCTCATCCTCTCTTGGAAAATCATCTGGCTGAAATGGTGTGATAAAACTATGAAGCTCAGGTGGAAGTCCATATGTATTTCCATGTTCTCTTTGTCATCCTCTCGCCAAATATGCCAATGTCTCGGTTGAGTAGCCAATCTGACAATGCATCTCGTGCATCTGACGCTGCATCCTGTGCATCTGAATCTGCATCCTGTCCATGCGACTCTGCATCGTATCCATCTCCTCTCGAGTGGGGTCATGTGTAGCTGGCTGGTGCTGAGGAGGCTCTCTACCTGAAGGACCGGACTGATCTCGCCCTGAAATGCTCCTCCTCACAGTCTGATCATTTAGTAACCCCTTCCCTGCTTCTAACCTATCCTCTGCGAATACTGGAACATGAAATCTATGGCAGAGTCTAGTGATGAAATAGGGGTAAATGAGCTGAGTACGTGATGCAGACTGTGTCCTGACCCAATCTAACACATTCTCCACTGATGAGCGCATCCATATAAATATAATCCTCGCTATATCAAATCGCTGACCAGTGGCTATCCAAAAGAGAAGGAGAATATCGTGTGGGGTAATGACGGAGTATGCAGTGGTGGGTTTCAAATCAAAGTTCAGGAAAAGATTAAGTAATCTATATTCTGGTTTGAGATTTCCTGAACCGAAACTAGATGTAAAGACCCTCCCACACAAGGTTGCAGACATGTTGTTGTATTCTGGTATACCAGGCTGTAAAGTGGAGGCTAAATGGAAGTAATCTGGTACATCAGTGGGTGGCTCTGCAAGGTCAAGGGTAGCACGGATAGTGGAAAGATAAAAAATAACCCTAACACCCCTCACGATAGAAAAAGCTGAATATTCTCTATCTGGATCAATCTCCCATCCAGAATAGAACTCATGCACTAAAGAAATGTCTATGTGAACTCATTTATTATTTAAGAGGTTATTTGTACCTCCATAGGTGGAAAAAGTCTAAAAGGAAGGGGAATGGATTATATATATATATATATATATATATAATATATATATATATATACACACCCAGCACAGCACACACACACACACACACACACACACACATATATGTATATACATACATATATATATACATATATATAATATATATATATATTATATATATATATATATATATATATATATATATATATATATATAATATATATTGGTGTGTGGTGTGTGTGTGTTGTGGTGTGTGTGGTGTGAAAAATACCAAACAATTACACTTTGCCTTTTGCTTTCTGGGAGGCATCTACAGAAAAAGAAAAGAAAAGAAAAAGGGGAAAAAAATTAAAAATAATAATTTTCTTTTTTTTTAATTATTATTTAGCTACAAATTGTTCAACATGAGTTAATTTCAAGTTATCAGAATTGACAATAAATTCCCTCAAAATTATTCTTTGAGAACAAAAAAAATGTTAAAATTTTTGATAACTTGATCGGTGAAACATACATGTTGAAATGACAATTATAAGCTAAACCGTGCACTTGTTGAATAAAATATCCGGTACAAATTTCCGAATGTGAGAAGTATCCAATTAGACTTTTATTTGACCAATTACTCACATTTGCACAAAACACCCCAAATTCAAATTTATTTTTGCAAAAACCCCCCTAATTTTTTTTTGGATTTGCATAAAACACCCAATTTGTTTTTTTTTTAATTTGAAATCACGTACCCAATTATTTGTTTTTACACAAAAACCCTAAGAATTTTCGGATTTTGCATGAAACACTCCTTTTTTTTTTGAAATTTTCAATTTTGCACAAAATACCCCAGAAAAATTTTCTTTCTTTTTTTTTATATTTTTTTGAACAAAACCCCCAAGACATTTTCGGATTTGCAAACACCCCCCTAACTTTTCGGATTTTATTTAACCCCTCAAATTTTCGCCAAGACATTTTCGGATTTGCAAACACCCCCCTAACTTTTCGGATTTTATTTAACCCCTCAAATTTTCGGATTTTGAACAAAAATCCCCAATGTAGATCATAAATTTGTTAAATTGATCATAAAACTCACAAAATATGATAATCATTCATAACTACCCAAGATTCATTCACCAATACATCCATGAGAAAAAAATTACAAGATCAAGTTTACAAATCATACCTTGGGGAGATGAGGATGAAGCCCTAAAGATTGCAGAAACAACCCCCCAAAATTTCTTGATTTATGTGGGTGAATTAGGGTTTGAGAGGGGAGGAGAAATTCGGGTTTGGGGAGA